CAGGGGCACAGGCCACGGGCCACATCCCAGCCTCTCCCATCAGCCCACCTAGAGGGACAGGCCTTATCCCAGAGTGGCCAATTGCTTGAGGAGGCCCAGCCATCACAGCAAATAGGAGTGAAGGGTGCTTTACGAAAGGACAGGAGGACTGTTGCACATCTTTTATTTTGATTTTGATTAAAAGCATGTATGCTCCTAGTAAATGGCCAGAGGTCCTGGGTGGTACAAATGGTTAATGCACTTGCTAACTGAAAGGTTAGAGGTCCGAGTCCACCCAGAGGCATCTCAGGAGAAAGGCTTGGGGATGGAAAATGCTCTGGAGCACAGTTCTACTCTGATAACACATGGGGTTGCCATGTGTCGGAGTCGTCTCCACGGCCACTGGTTGGTTGGTTGGAGTAAAGGGGATGGATCATGGGGATGGTGCAGGAACAGGCAGCGTTTTGTTCCATTGCACGTGGGGTGTCTGTGAGTCAGGGGGCCAACTTGGCAGAGGCTAACAAAGATGTCAGATGGGACAGAGGGGAAGAAATTAAGAATCCTGAATCCTCCATACTTCTTCCCCAGAGGGAAGCATTGTCTTGACTTCTGTAGGTATCCTTCCAAGGATTTCTTGTGCATATGGAAACATGTATGTGCATGTATGTTTCTTTTTCCCACCCCCACAGTGGGATTATACTATATCACTTCTTAAGGCCTGTTTTTTTTAATTTAATTATATAAAATAGTAGCACTTACTCTGTTCAGAGTAAGCACTACAAAATAGTAAGCACTTACCCTGCTCTCCTATTATGTAAGTCTTTAAGCCTCCTGTGTGGTAAGTGTTCCACACAATTAATCTGAACAAACCCATGAGGTGTAAATACTATTATTACTCCCATGTTACAGATGGGAAGACTGAGGCACAGAGGTTGACTTGCCCAGGGTCACAGCTCGTGACTAGCAGAGCTAGGATTCTAAGAGACCATCTCACTGTGGCATCCGTGCTCTGAACCACTAGTTCTGCCTTACGCTCTTGGTAGTCTTTCCAGTATCAGCACAAACAGCTCTACCCCCTCTTTGTAGTGCCTTCTAATTGTACCATTCATTTAACTAATACTTACCTTTATTGCATTTGTGTAATAACTGCATGTATTCCATAAATTACACTTAGGTTTTCTCCTGCTTTGGGTCATTACAATGATCTAACAAACACCCTTTTACGTTTATCTTTGTGTATTTCCTCACACTTTTCTTTTTAGGAGAAATTTCTCGCAGTAGAATTGCTAGGTTGAAGGGAACACATCTTTTATTTCCATTTTCATTTAATTAATATTTTTCATTTAATTTTCTTGAATATCTTAAACATTGGCATGATTCAAAAGCCAGAACTGTATTCACAAAAGTCTCCTGTCCATCCCTGTCCCCTGCTCTCCTATCTCTTATAGGTAACTGTTTTTCTGTGTTTCTCCTTTTTCATTCTAGTGTTTCTTTTTTTCAAATACCAGAAAATATTTAAACCATTTAAAATATTTGTTGTTATTGTTGGGTGTCATTGAGTCGATCCAATTCCTAGCAATCCCATGTGATCCCTTGGAATCCCGTAGGGTTTCCTAGGCTGTAATCAGGTCTTTCTCCTCCAGAGCCGCTGCTGGATGGGTTCAAACTGCCACCTTTTCAGTTAGAAGCTGAGCACTTAACCATTGTGCCACTAGGGCTCCTTATTCAGATATCAGGAGATATCAAATATTTCCCCCTTTCTTGAGCAGTGTGCATTCAGATTTGTAAAGCTATTTCTAGCTCTTGCTGAAGATAGTCAGGTAGAAGAGAGAAGTCGGGGCCAAGTCCACTGCTTAGACAGGCTGGCAGAGAGGTCTGGGCATAGGCCTCACAGTAGTACATCCTCCAACAGGGACACAGAATTTTCTACATCTCATCTCCCTCCCTTCCATAACCTGCCCTTCCCTGCTCCCCAAAGGACTGTCTTTTGTAGACACAGACAGTAGGCAAAGGCCGCCATATCTGAACTTGAGCCCAGAGACTAAGAGAGTCTAACCGAGTTTGTTGGGGATGTTTTCTTGGCTCCTGGGGACGTGGCCCGGTGGCATTTGCCCATTCTTCTGTGCTGCACAGGTTTATTGGTCACCTTTTTTTGCACCAGGCACAGTGCTAGGCAGTGGGGTGAACAAATGAACAGTATGGTGTCTACCTTCCCTGGGAGCTCAGGGCATAGGGAGGGGAGTCATCCCATAAGTACACTTAGATGTATTGCAGGAAGATGTAACTCACCACTCCTGCAGAGCCCTATCCCACCCTGCAGGGCTCAGCCCCAGGTCTCCTCTGCAAAGCCTCCCCAACTCTTGTTTTGAGCCAGATCCCCTTGTTGTGTGTTCTCCCAACCCTACCCTCACTGCAGTTCTTAGTACGGTCATAACTTTATACTGACTTGTGATCCTTGGTGTAAATGGGAGTCTACCCCTCTTGACTATAAGCTCTTGAAGGCAGAGACCATTCCACTCCCAGTGCTTAGCACAGGGCCTGGCACATAGTAGATACTCAGTAAATAGCTATCAAGTGCACGCAGGGACAGAAGCATGCCAGTAAGTCTCTCATGATTGCTTCCGTGTGGTTGTGTGTCTCCTGAGGGTCTTTTCCCCTTCATTTTCAGAAGCCTAGCTCTCACTTTCTTCTCGGCCACCTTCCAATTCAATTGCCTATTAATTTCTCCCCCATCCACCTCCCACATCTTCCCTCCCAGTCCGTCTGCTTTCTGACCCCCTGAGTCTAGTCTAACACTTGACTTCATACACATACCCTCGTGTGCTGGCTGATTGGTATCTGTTAATTAATGTCGCCCAAGGCCTCTCTCCTCCTCTGAGGCCCGATAAGGAAAATTGGATGTCCATTTCTATCTATCTATTATTACCTCCAGCTCCCCCAGCCACCACGGGCAGCCACACACCCTCTCCCATATGTGGAATCAGGATGAGAACACACACGCCCCTGACTCCTCCACGCCACAGCCTCTGCCCCAGGATGGTGCATCAATCACAGCTCACCCCGTGTCAGACCAATGTCGCCTCTCCAGCTCTTGCTGATCACCTATGGTTGCCAGTAGCCAGGTAGTGACCACAGGCCCAGGTTGTACAGCTTGGGCCTGGGAGCCACAATGATCAGACTAGGAGGATACTCACAGGTAGAGGGCAGCCTACTGAGTGACTTTGCCCCCAGGAACGCCCCCTGAAGTTTTACAGTCATGAGCTGGGTGGAAAATGGGGAACGATAGTGGCATTTAGAGACAGGACAACAATTGAGAGGGGGCTGGACTCCACAGAAGCCCAAAGGGATGGGCCAGTCCATAAGTCCAAGTCTCTGGCATGTCCACTGTTGGGGAGCGAGTGATGCCAGTGGAGTGCCAACAACAGTGATAGTAACCACAGCCATTACTGCCAAAATTGCTAAGATGTGTGTGGGAGCAGTGCCAGGTGAGTCATCTGCATCATCTCTTAACCTCTCAGCACCTGTGTGGGCCAGGCAAATCATAAAGTCATACCCAGGCAAGTTCTAAGTCAGCTTTGAAAAAAGTCCAGCATTGGCAAAGGGGCATCAGAAATCCAGTAAGTTGCTCTTGACTTGGTGCAAATGGTTTGTGGATCCTTGTCCTTCTCCCAGTAAGTCCATCACAGTCACTTCTGATCTCCAGTATCAGAACACATCACTGAGTTTCTGGGGCAGGTTCCACTGAAGTTACTGGCTTTTGTTCTGTGATCAAGATGTTTGAAAATTCTTCCCTCCATCCTTCTCCCTTCTTTCCTTTTCCTTTCTTTTCAATCAAGATATCAGTTGAATTAGCCCAAGTTAAGTGCATAATTGATGCAATTTCAGTGTATTATTCATATTTTACACATGAAGACTTTTATCTCCTCATTAATAATAATAGAGCTTAGTAAATGCTTTGTATGTCCTGTAAATTTTTGTCTTAGACCTTACAGCCACTCTCTGAAGTGGATAGAGACTACTACTGTACCCGTTTTATAGATGGGGAAGTTGAGATTGGGAGAAGTTTCATGACTTCAACAAGGTCAGCCTATAGCTGGGAAATGGGGAGTGGGGTCTCAAACCCAGGCACCCTCCAGAGCACACTGGACAAGGCAGTATCATCATTCTAGAACCATCCCCACCCTCACTGTGGGCTCAGCCGCCCCCTCACCAGTAGGGTGAAGGAATCTCCCATGTTCATCAGGGTCATGTTAGATAGAGAGGTGGGCAGAGGGGGTCTGACCCCAAGAGGACAGGCTGTTCTGTGAGGAAGTGCCCCTGACCACACCCTGGGGGCATGTGTCCTTCCATCATGGCCGGGAGCAGCTAAATTCTCATTCCTGGTTGGACCCATGGGTCTCAGCACAGCTGAGACTCTGTGTTGAGGTCCAGATGTGACTTTAAGCCTCCTGGTTGGAGCAGAGGAGCTCTGGTGGCATAGTGCCTAAGTCCTCCCAGAAGGCTGGCAGTTCAAACACACCAGCCACTCCTCAGAAGGAAGACCAGGCTATCTATTTCTGTAGAGATACCACCTTGGAAACTTAAGGATGCGTCACTATGAGTCAGAACTGACTCGATGGCAGTGAGTTTGGTTTGGTTTTGAGTTTGGTTGGAGCAGAGAGGGGGGCCTGGAAACCTCCCTGGAGTGGAAGGGACCCGTACTGCCATCTCCTGATTCTATTATGAATTCAGTAGCTCCTTAAATTACACATGCATTTAATTTATCAAAAAGCCTTCACAGACATTTGAAAAATCCCTTAGAACTAGCAATAATAATGACAATAACCATTGTCAACTTTGACTGCTGTCCTGTATGTAAGTCTTTGAGGTGAATTCCAGGTCAGGCTCAGTTCACCTGGGGAAGCAGGTGCACAGGGAGGGTCACCTCGGCAGGATCCCAAGGTGCCTGGGGCCACCCCATCCCAGTCGGCCCCAGGGAGACCCTGACCCACCCAATGACCCCAACTTTCCTCTCCCTGCAGGCTTCTCGAACCTCTCGCTGGGGGACCAGATGAGCCTGCTGCAGAGCGCCTGGATGGAGATCCTCATCCTGGGCATCGTGTACCGCTCGCTGCCCTACGACGACAAGCTGGTGTACGCCGAGGACTACATCATGGATGAGGAGCACTCCCGCCTCGCGGGGCTGCTCGAGCTCTACCGGGCCATCCTGCAGCTGGTGCGCAGGTACAAAAAGCTCAAGGTGGAGAAGGAGGAGTTCGTGACGCTCAAGGCCCTGGCCCTGGCCAACTCAGGTGAGAGCGGGTCTGGGGGCTCAGGGTGGAGATGGGGGAGGTCTGCGGGGGCTTAGGGAGCATAGCTCTGGGGCCTGTGAGCAGGGTGGGCTGCCGGGGTGGGCATGATATAAAGACCCTAGGGCTTCTTGTCACCACAGACTGGCACAAGGGGTGGACTGGAGTTAAATGAGGTGGCGATGATGGCTGGCATTGGTTAAGCATTATTTCCTAACCCCTTGATTTGCTGGCTACTGAGCTGGGGCCTCAGGAGCTCTGATGGTGTGGGTTAAAGCGTTTGACTGCTAACAAAAAGTCAGTGGTTTGAACCAATGAGCCACTCTGCAGAAGAAAGATGAGCCAGTCTGCTTCCGTAAAGATTTACAGCCTTGGAAACCCAATCGGAGTTGCTCTTAGTCAGAATCGACTCAATGACAGTGAGTTTGGTTTTGGTTTTGAGCTGGGCCCTTGGTCTACACAGCAGCACACGGGTTAAGGACAGAGACTCTGGAGCCAGATGGCTAAGGTCAAATCCTACTTCCACCACTTGGGCAGGTTGTTTCAGTCTGCTTTAGTTTCTTCATCAGTATCCTACAGGATTGTTGAAGGGATTTATTTATTTATAGTTACAGTATGCTTACACCATGCCTGGAACATGATGTTAGCTATGAACTTATTTGGAGTCCCTGGGGGTGGTGCACATGGTTAATGCTTTCAGCTGTTAACCAAAAGGTTGGAGGTTCAAGTCTACCCAGAGGTGGCTTGGAAGAAAGGCCTGACAGTCTTCTAAAAAACACATCACTGAGAATCCTGTGGTGCACAGTTCTATTCTGACACACGTGGGGTCACCATGAGTCAGAGTCAACTTGTGGCAACTGTTATGAACTTACTCACATCTGACAAACAACCCCATGAGTAAAGTTGTATTCTTTTAATGGCATTTTATAGATGTCCAAACTGAGTCTTAGAAAGGAAGCAAATTGCTTAGGGTCACACAGTTGACTTGAACCAAAGTCCTCTGATTTCAAAATCAACCTAAGCTTAGTCTTGCTCCTTGATTTTCCCAATCGAATTGCTTGGGCACAAGAGAGCAATTCTTCCCAACTCAGTTATTTAGTCTGATGTTAAAAAAGGAGGCCCCAGTCCATTTCTTTAGCACCTGTCAACTTCTGGCTAGACTGTCTGGGGAGAGGAGCTGGCCATTGGGTAATGTGGGTGCATGAGCTTGATTTAATGGGTGTCTATGCCTGGCTTGGAAAGAAGGTTAGCAATCTACTTCCATAGAGATACCACCTTGGAAACCCAAGGAGGGTCGCTATGAGTTGAATCAACTTGATGGCAGTGAGTTCGGTGTTTTTTTTTTAATGCCTGGTAGTGCCTACCCCTTGCAGGACACTGTGCTGGTGCTGGGGGAATGCATAAGGAAGAGAAAGACGGGATTCCTGTCCTGAAGGGTTTGTTGTTGTTGTTGTTATGTGCCGTCGAGTCAAACCCGACTCATAGCGACCCCTCCTTGGGCTTCCGAGGCAGTATCACTACGGAAGTAGGATTGCCCAACCTTCCTTCCGAGGAGTGGCTGGTGGGTTTGAACCGCCAGCCGTCTGGTTAGCAGGCAAATGTCTTAGCCACTATGCTACCAGTCCTGAAGGGTATACGTGTGGAATCACACACACAGTTCTGCTACAGGGCAGCAGGTGGTGGGGGTTCACTCCTCAGACCTGGGGTGGATGGACCCAAGTTCAACTCTAGCTCTGATGTTTACTCATACTGTGGCCTTGGCCAAGTTGACTCACCTCTCTTAGCCCCATGTTCTTGTGTGTAAAATGGGGATATGCCAGTACCTCCCCTAGGGACTTCTGTGAGTATTCAGTGATGACTGAAGATAAAGCACTTAGGCCAGTGCCTGGCCTAGAGGAAATGCTCAATACATATTCATTATTATCATTAATGTTAGAGGAAGCATAGTATTATCAGCATTTGGAAGAGGGAGGGCTGGTTCTCAGATGGAGATAGTACATATAAGGTAGGCAGCTGGTTTGCCCCATACTGTCCTATTTCCAGCACAGCCCTCAGTCCCTGGGAGACCTGGGTGTCCTAATGAACAGCTGCATGGAGAGTGTTGGGGACTGTCTTAGTTATTTAATGCTGCCATAACAGCCAAAACCACAAGTGAAATTTCTTTCACAAACAGAAATGTATTTTCTCACTGTTCAGGAGGCTAGAAGTCTGAATTCCAGGCGCCGACTCCAGGGGAAGGCTTTCTCTCTCTGTCTGCTCCTTGGCTTCTGCTTCCTGGTTCCTTGGAGATCTCCACGTGTCTTTGCTTCTCTCTTCACCCATCTCTGCTCTCCTCACTTGTTTAATCTCTTTTATATCTCAAAAGTAATTAACTCAAGATACACCCCACACTAATCCTACCTCATTAACATAACAAAGGCAAACGATTCCCAAATGGGATTGTCGCCACAGGCATAGAGGTTAGGATTTACAGCATGTTTTTTGGGAACACAGTTCAATCCATAACAGGGGTGCTGTTGATGCTCCTCTTTACTGGACTTATGCATCCATCCCCCAACACTGAGCTTTGCTGCCAGCAGTTCACAGATGCCCCTTCTCCAGAGAATTACCTGAAGCTGCCTTGCCCAGAGGATTCTGGGTCCCACTACCCCATTGGCACTGTCAGCCAAGGACAGACCCACACAGGGAACAAAAGGCCAAGTGCCTTGTGTGATGGGATTGGAGTGCTGCACAGGGTCGGGCGGAAGCTGAGGCTGCACCTCAGCCTTGCTGGTTCCTCCCCTCTCCTAGCATGCTACCCTCCTGCCCCTTCACCTAAGAACACACCCTCGATCAGCCCCAGGCATCCAATCGCCTGCCTCAGGCTCTGCTTCTGGGGGACCTGACCAGGACCTGACTGAACCCAGAGAAGGCAGCTTTTTTTTTTTTTTTTTTTTCTGTCCAGATCCTTTTACTAAACAATAAATGAATGCAAAATGATCATTAAAACTGTATATGCTTCTGTGGAGACCATTTAGATCTTAGGATTCCAAAATCGTGATGTATTCTCTGTGAACCAAAATCAAACCCACTGCCGTAGAGTTGATTCTGACTCATAGTGACCCCATAGGACAGCGTAGAACTGCCCCAGAGGGTTTCCAAGGCCGTACATCTTTACAGAAGCACACTGCCTCATCTTCCTCTTTGGGAGCAGCTGCATCACAAGAAAACTCTCACTGCTGTAGAGTCGGATCCGACTTGTAGCAACCTTCCTTGGGTTTCTGAGGTGGTATCATTACAGAAGTAGATTGCTCCATCTTTAGCTCTGATTATTAGAGTGCTAATGCTGGGTTGATGGTTTTTTAAATGTAGTTTTAGATTCACGGAATAATTCAGCAAACAGTACCTAGAGTTTCCTCTACTGTCTCCACCCAGACACATTTTTTACATATGCGTCTTTTTATTAGCATCTTGTATTAGTGTGGTACATTTGTCACAATTAATGAACCAAAATGATATATTGTTATTAACTGAAGTCCATACCCATTAAGCTTTACCCTTTGTTTTGTATGGCCCAAGGAGCCTTGGTGATGCAATGGTTAAGCTCTCAGCTGCTAACTGAAGGGTGGGTTGATGATTCTAACCCACCCAGTGGCTCTCAGGGAGAAAGACTTGGCTATCGGCTTCCACACAGATTACAGTTGAGAACACCCTATGGGGCAGTTCAACTCATGAGCTTGCTATGAGTCAGAATCAACTTGATGGCACCCTATAACATGTGTTTTGACAAATGTATGTCTTGTGTCTCAGAAGGAAGATTGGGCAATCTACTTCTGTAGGAAACCTAAGGAGGGGTCGCGATGAGTCGGATTTGACTCGATGGCAGTGAGTTGTTTTTGTTTTTTTTTTTTTGGTATGTCTTGTGTCCATCACTAATAGTTTCACCACCCTAGTAACCCCCTGTGCTTCACCTCTTCAGAGGGCAGCATTGTAACCAGGTGTTCTGGTCACCTAGTATTGCTCTGACAAGAATATACCACAAATGGATAGCCTTAACAAACAGGAGTTTATTCTTTTACAGTTTGGAGACTTTAAGTCAAAGTTCAAAGTGCCAGGCTCTAGGGGCTGTGTGAAAGCCTCTCGACCTTGAGCTGCAGCTCTGCCTCCTGCTCCCAGCCCACTGGAGCTAGAGGCATCTCTTCACTCAGGCAGCCACTGGCTGCTGAGGCTGACAAGCCCAAGGTGGACAAATAAAATGGCACAGTCCCGATGTTACCAAACCGCACAGCAGCCCATTAATTCAAGTCCATTGTAAGTTCCAAGGTCGGCAGAGCATAGCAGGCTGCTATACAACAACATGGCTACATGCAGGGTCCAGGCATGCCACAATCTAGAGACCATTCCCAAAGCTGATGCTTATATATAGGAAGCAGACCACATACCCAAAGGCAGCTACTCAGCTGCTTGTGGTAGATCCCACCATGGGGAATAAATAACTACCACCAGTTGCCCAGCCACTCAACCAGGCCCAGCCAAGTTGATACACAAATTTAACTACCACACCAGGCTTTGTACAGGGGCCAGGACTTTTGATGGCAGAGGCGGGGAGAAAAGCAGTTCGGGGCTGAGGAAACAGGTGAGCAAAGCCAGGGGCAAGGAAGTGGGGACCATAGGCTGGCCAGACCTGTCCTTGATTTTGGACTCTCCCAACTCATCCCAGATGGAGGTCAAGTTGGCCCATGCAGGCAGAGGAAAATGAAGAGGTAGGAGGCCACTTCCGCCCTCTTCCATCCCCACTGCCCCACGCCAAACTGCACCAGCTTTCAGATTGCTCATTGGCTGAACCAGCTGCTCTTCCCTTGATCTCCAATGTACCTCTCTGTCTCAACCCCCCCTTCCCCATACACATACACACACACCTAGTGTTTTGGTGACATGAATCCATCGGTTCCTTCCAGCTGGGGTCCAGCCTTGCCCAAGTACATACTCTTCCAGGAACCCAGACTTCTTGCCCCAATGGGAGT